AGTGACTGTACAAGAAATTACTGTGCGCGACAGATCGCGCTTTGATTTTTTTATGAGGGGCGATTTGATTTTTTTTGGGCATGAATCTCGCAAACGCGCGGCCTGGGTTGGACACTGAGTCTCACCACCCGATCCATTTGGTTGCCTCTTACAACCAGCATAGGCTGCTGGGGACCTATAGTGAGGCGGAATTCCTAACAGGAATATGTTCATGACAACTGGGGTGCTGTTGACAGAGAAATACGGTTTTCAGTTAGTCCATGCTTTCAAATTCATAAATGCTATTTTCTTATACATCTTCACATTGTCAGGCTAGAAGGAAGGATTGTTTCTTTCTTAAAATATCTAATCTGAAAGCCTAATTATCATAACATCATTACATCATCACGTTTCTTTATTTGTTTATACTTACACATGCAAATGTCATAACTAGTGGGTAATTTGACAAAATGCAATATCACTATTTATTTAGGTCAGTAACCTGAAACAGTTCAAGAGAACACTTTTTGACAGCTAGGTATTTCATGACCATTTTGTAATAATTAACCTGACATCAAATGTTACCCGTACATTTTACTCCCTCAAGCAGAAAATAAGCGCTAAATATAAACCCAATAATGCCAGGTAACTATGCCATCAATTACTGTCAGATAGTATCATATCAAAACAATGTCATGTCGAATATTTTGTGTAAGAAAATGATCCTTCCTACTTTATTTCATGAACAACTTGAAATGCATTGACAGGTGCACTAGCCAGCCGGTCTACTATTTAAATTGCTGTCACTATACCTTACAAAGATCTACTAGCTTCAGGCTAACTGGACAGCATAGCTGTCGGACCCTGCATAGGTACTTATGTCAATTTTGTGACAACATTCAAGTAGAGAACATTACCGGTAGTCCCAACACTGACCATTACTGCCCACTTGCACAAAGTGATCATAGAGCTACAACAATGGAAAGTTTATATGTTCACATGGTTTTAACTTAGGAGTAAAGATAATTGTAGTGAGTGAGTGAGTGAATGAGTATGGTTTTACGCCGCTTTTAGCAATATTCCAGCAATATCACGGCGGGGGACACAAGAAATGGGCTTCACACATTGTACCCATGTCGGGAATCGATCCCGGGTCTTCGGCGTGACGAGCGAACGCTTTTAACCACTAGGCTACCCGACCGCCCCTAAAAGATAATTGTAGAGCTACCATCATTCTGTAGCTCGGGTGCTCCAGGACATCAGTACTGAAAGTACTTTGCAAGCATGTCAGCAGTCATCAAAATTCAAAAGGAAACTTTTTACATTCCAAAAGTAATTATTCAAGCTGTTTAAAGCAGTGACCTGCTCATCTTTACACTGTTCTACACTGAAAGCTCTCTTTTCTGCAAAAACACAACATGCTCAGCAATGACTGAATCCTTGTTCAGAATGTTGAGTAATACTGATAAAACACATTATTACCCACGTGGTGAAGATACAGGTGGTAAGATACTAAATCCGTACGTCACACGTGTGTCGTACAAGGTTGACCTTGTTTTATTCGTTTTGATTGGATAACCGTGACCTCTGTCACACTGGGACTTCATTCATAAAAAATCGCGAGACGTTATTCATTTTGCAACTACAAGGCAGAACTGAAGAAATTAATGAGAACGAGAGATATTTACAAACACTTTATTAAACCAAACAATACAGTCACATGCATCAAATTTGGTTTGCATTATACATAGGTTACTCATAGAGCTTCTACAGACATTATATAATCGAGCTATATTCATTTACAATGTACGACTACCGATCAATAGAGCGAGGTTCCACATGAGCCAGACGCGCCCGACCACTTTCGCAACTCTCAATTTGATTTAACGTAAAAGGATAAGCGTCTTGAAATGAAGTTTGTTTGAACTATCTGGACAGATATCTAGACTTACTTGGGAAGCGTATTTTGTGGCGCTGTTTCGGGTGTTGTTGTTCATGAATGAACATACACGACTGCACGACCAGATCACTAACAGTGAACAGTTCTGATACAAATCATTCGAAAACTCCGTGGAAGTGTGCCTGACTTCTGATTTTCTGGCCCCAAACATCCCAAATGTGAACAATAACATTCCCTATATCTTGCGTAAAAAGCTGTGAGTAGATTATGGTTGTCTTTTCTTATTCCGGTGGTGACCTTGCCCTTCGATCGTTCGAAGCTGTAACTGACATGCAAGCAGACTTGAGTTTGTTGATTTTCACGTCTTCAGAAAAGGGTGGTACAGTTAACATGAATGTCTTTGGCGAACACTCTGATTTCCCTCTTCCAAAAATGGTATGAACATGATATAAATTCAGCTGATAGATCAAGGAAACCGAACCAGTTTGATTGCACGGACGGGACACCGGCAGTGCGAGTCACAGACTGTTGGTCCGATATTCAAAGCGCGGCACTAATATGACTTTTCAAATTTTCTTATAGGTGTCCGTCGTACTAACAACAATGCGCTTAAATTACCATAAGTTGAAGAATTCCTTCCAAAAGGATCTTGAGCGTCGGTGCTGTTTTGTTTGCAAACACAACTGCAGGTGCATGTTATTAATGCTTATGCATAGAAATGTCAACAATGCCCATATTTGGGCATGTATCAATATTGCGCAACCAGATTTTGCAACCGGTTTTAGTTTGGTCTGTCAACGAACAAATGTTGTTCTGTATTTACACTTAAATATATATTTAACGTGGGTTATAAATAAACTACCACACTCATTCTCATGAACTTTCTATGGTATCTGACCTCGCTTTCGCTCGGTCAGATACCATAGAAAGTCCACTCATTTTGTAAAAATGGTATCTAACGAGAATGAGTGTAGTATTCTCTATGAATAAAAACAAATTAGTTTGTTGTTTAATGCCGCACTTAGCAATATTCTAGCTATATGACGGTAGTCGGTAAATAATTGACTCTGGACCTGACAATCCAGTGATTGACATCATGAGCATCTATCGACGCAATTGGGATACAATGACATGCATGAACCAAATCAGCGAGTCTGACCACCTGATCCCGTTAGTCACCTTTTATGGCAAGCATGGGTTGCTAAACCAGATTTTGAACAGACAGAAGTTGACAATGTTGACATATGTTTGAAGTGTTAGTTTTTTCCCTTTAAACATACATGTTAACTTATTTGTAAATGTTTGAACACATTCACTATTCCTTTATGTACTGTTTTTTCTCAGCCCTCTTGATTATTTGTTTCCATAAGGAGCCATTTGGCACCTGCATGAAAAACAAAGGGGGGCGAAAATGAATTTCCTGGGCGCAAACACAACTGACCTTTTAATACTAAACATTTCAGGCTAAAATAATTTGTAACAAGAGTTTGCCACTAACGTGGCTATATCCCCCGCCCCTGTTGCAGAATTTATGACATAATTGAATCTAAACAAACCCTTACCTTTTTTAACCGAGGTGGAACTTGTCATGGAAATTGTAAAAAAAAAATGAGTTTGGAACCTAAGTCCATCTTGTTGCCATGGAAACGTAAAAAATAAATATTTCTAAAACTTCTAAAAAGCAAAAGGCACCAGTTCAGCATGTACCTGACAGACCTGAAAAGTTTGATGAAAAAATATTGAACGGTTTAAGAGTTATGCTCCGGAAACGAACCCTACCCTCACAGAACCTAAGTCCATCTTGTTGCCATGGAAACGTAAAAAATAAAAATTTCTAAAATTTCTAAATAGCAAAAGGCACCAGTTCAGCATGTACCTGACTGACCTGCAAAGTTTGATGAAAAAATATTGAACGGTTTATGAGTTATGCTCCGGAAACGAACCCTACACTCACAAAACCTAAGTCCATCTTGTTGCCATGGAAACATAAAAAAACGTTTCATATATGGTCCAGTGTACTAGTTTAAGAGTCAATGGCATCCACTGCACCAGTTTCCTGCACATTTCTCGCTTGAAATTGCAAGTGCAATTTACAAAATAAGTATTCCATGAAACAATGGATTAGTAGAACAATAAGAAAGCGTCATCACATTTTGTTTTAATGTGACCATCCAAATTCTTTTAGCCATATCTCACAAAAGAATCCACTGGGTGTTTGTTGGCCTTTCTGTATACTTCATACGATGATTTGATAGTTGATTCAGGGGTCTTGAACTACCGGCTTAGACAAACATACTCAGCAATCTTAATCTCTACATAGAAAACAACACCTAGCACGATAAGAAATACATGTCTAAGTGAAATGGTGGGAGTGATGCACTTTACCAGGCACACATTTTTTATATACCATGTTTAGTGATGTATCACAAATTTTCATTGGCTAAATTCCCTTCCATTGCAAATTATCAAAAAACAAAAATCTTACTTTTTTTCATCATTACTTTTTCTGTGCATCTGTAATACAAGGGAAAAAATTGGTCTGGTCCAAGTATCAATAAAGGTGACAGCTTGTAAAGTTGTATTGATGCATCATTTTTTATCTTTCTATCTATCTATCTATCTATCTATCTATCTATCTATCTATCTATCTATCTGCCATCATTAATGATACAAATTCATTTTACCACACAACAGTCCCATAAGCATAAGTCAGCATAAGTCAGCAACCAGGTGTAACGCAACTTCACCTGCATGTCATCCTGGCATAAACAAACCTATTCAAGGTCAATATCTCCACTTTTAAAAACTTGACTTTAAATGAACATTTTTCAATTCAATGAATCAAAATATCCCAGTAATAGCATTAGTAATTAGGTTTTATTCAAACAATTCAAAAACAAATCAATAATCACTGAACATGAACTGAACTGTCAATCACTCAATAAATCCAGTACTGAACACAAGTCCTTAACATCTGTTCACTGATGAGGCAACAGAGGACTGATAAGAGCAATTCCAGCATCATATGCAAACAAAGACTATGATGAAGCCAAACAAAAGATATGGCCCCCCTCCGTCACCAAGAGCTGAAACCATGAAGTCGCCTGCCTGCCTCACGTACCATGTGCTGCCTGCCAACAGTCTCGAGCCAGTGAGGCTGGTTTGGGAAAAGGGTGCACTCTGCTGTCACTTCACCTGCACATCTGCCTCCTCGATCTGCTACCGGTGACAATTGGGGGCATCTACCTGTTGTGGGGTCATTGCTGCAGGCAGGAGGGCATACAGGCACCACCACAACTGCATTCAGTCAAACAGTTGTGACTTGAATTTCTAAGTGGGTCAGGCTTTGATAGGACCGCTCGTCTATATTTAGATACTAAGGCTAACAGTTCTTTGTGGCAGTTCGCAGGATAAGGGGGCTCTCTGGATCAAAGATCGCCATCTCTAGGCATTCGCATATCAGTGCGTAATGCCTACCCACGATCACTACATTCTGGTACTTCTCCACACTTCAATGACCATGGGTTTGTTTTTAAGAGCAAGTGAAGCATGACAGCCATAAATAGCAGGTGTACAGGGTCTTTCAGATGTCAATGACAGGCTAAGAGGGATGAGGCTAATAACCTGAGTATTAATGTCCTCAATATTCGATACATTATTTTATCATAAAGGTAAACTTTCTTATTCAATGGCTTCTTTCAAAGATTTGAAAAATGTGATAATCATGATAATGGAATTTCTTACCGGTATTACAGTTTCACTCAATGAAACTTTCAAGATCTGAGGACTTGTGTGTATATAACAAATGATTAACTCTTACTTTATAAATTAATACAACATTGCCCACTCTTGCACAAGGTGAGGTAAGGTGAAATTGGGTTTAAGGTTGCATCCAAGATTATTGCACTTATATGGCGACATGCATGCATGTGTCTGTGGCTGCTTGTACTAGTCCGGACTGATGCCGATTTATAGTGCTAGCTCACTGACATGAATACCTCACTCAGACATAGTATACTGACTCCGAGCCAACCAGTCCTTGTTTTAGCCCCTAATACTGAGCGCCAGACAGGGTAACAACAAGTACCATCTTTTAACGTCTTTTGGTAAGAGGCGTCCAGAGATGGAACCCCGGACTTTTCACTCTCCGGGCCGACGCTCTACCATAAGACCACAGAGGCTGACCACTTTATCTCAGCAAGTACATGTTAGCAATACTGCAGCCACAGTGGTCTGTAATTAGTTTGGACCAGACAAAACACTAAGCAGTTTGACACTGACCAGAGTTTGTGAGCAGTCCATAGAACCAAAAGGAAACTACAGGTTTTCCTAAAAATACTAATGATAATAATAACAATGTCATGATGATGACACTGATGATGATAAAATAATCTATTTATATGGCACTGTACTCCACCTATATAATAATATATACATGCTCTAAGCGCTTAAGACATTATTACCCTGGTTAATGGATCAGTGTGCACTTGATATTAAGACGCAAGCACCTCACGACTATTTTCAGAAGGGCCAAGAAATTATTTTGCAGGAACTATCTGTCTGGTATACAAGATAAATCAAAGTTCACACATACATTTTTAGCATTATCTCCTTAGACTTTGCCAATATTTGACGTCCAAGCTTTGTATTCATGCCCACAAGAAGCCTTTCGTCTCGGTCCCAAGGAATGGTGACAACAAGTACCATCTATTAACGTCTTTTGGTAAGACATGGCCAAACGCTCTCAGGGTATGCTCCATCCACTACATCACAGAGGTGTTAGGAGTGATTTGAGTTTAGTGAAACGATAGAAGTGGGAGGGTGCTAGGTCGGGCGCATTGGGAAGTAAACTAAAGTCAGAGTCCGCAGATGCAGTCACTGTCACTTGTGACATGCACAGGCACATTTTCCTAAAGCAGTAGCACACCTGAACATGCTGAAGGGAGCCACCCATTTTTACGTATTTGGTTGGAGTGAGGCCAAAGTCTTTCACTGTTTGCTCTGAAGCTTCAATTTCAAAGTGATGGATACAGGAGTCTTATCCTGGGTTAAAACTAGAATCATCAATTTATCAGAATTCAGCTGATAACTGGTCAAGAGGTTCCTGGACATATTCAGATTGGACAGATTCTGATCTGGTGTAACATCCCTGGTACCTTCTGGCATATTCCCGAGGCAAGCATGTCCACTAGCCTATATCAAAGCCTAGTTTCTACCCTTGCCACATCAAAGCCTCTTTTCTTAGCTCGACCCTGGTGCCACCTCGTCTAGATCATGAGTTGTGCCCCTTGTAATGAAAATGAGATATCTAATCAGATCGCTGTTCTTATCTTGCATAGCTTCAAATAGATGGCGACTACCATTTGCAATGATCTAGTCCATCAGGTAACAAAAACATTCCCGATTTCACCCGACACAAAAACATAGGCAATCGTTGGGGGTCTAAATTGATGAAAAAGACATATTCGTGTCAACAAAGACAGGCAGCGGTAAATCAGTTTTATACGAAGGTGTACCAGTCATGGATGTTGATTGTGTCACATGTTTTCTGATTGAACTATCGATATGTGCGATATTCCAATCATACTTAGCACAGGAAAGTGGGCTTGATGTGGCAATGGTGGAACCAAGACTTCGGTTAAAAGGCTAGCGGATGCTTTTGCCTCGGGAAGATGACCTTCTTGTGGAGCGGGCTAACATAGATTGTACCAGCCCAAAACTAATCCCAAAAGTGTTGTCAGTATGCCACATCGTAACACATCGGTTAGCCATAATCATGTGAATGATGGCCTCTATTTGAGTTTCAGCATATTCAGGACCACAGGCAAGGCTTAACCTATGACTTAACTGGTTTCCAGGTCCTTTAAGGGGGAAATTAGCATTGAAAACCACATTTGGGGGAATTCTTAAAATTATAAAAATTAGACCTGCTTCACCAGACTATTTGATCATATGGCATGGAAGAATTCATCATTATACAATATTAGTATACTATTACTTCATCAAGTCAATAAGTAAGAGTGGGTAAACATGGTTAAGTATACAAGGCGCTGAGATGTTAACTTGATGCTCAGCAGTAATTATTCCAGTGTTATGGGTTTTCGGACGCTAAAAAACATTCGTAGTTGTGTCGCTAATAACGTGAACAACTGTAAAACATCTCACTCACCTATGAATGCCAACTTTATCTAAAAAAACAGCCCATCATCCAAGTATTTACAATGTTTGTGTTTCGCACATTGATCGTATATCTGAATTTATGTTTGTAATCTATTTTTTGAAACTTTCATTTAATACTGCAGAGCTCCAGATAACTTTTTGAGCAATTGAGTTTTTACTCAGGGTTTCTATTTTAATTGGGTTATTAAATTTTTCATTGGGTAACAAATATTTTTTCACTCATCTATTCATCAGTCTATAGTTTTTTCCCCAAAAAATAAGTGAACATTTTAAGATTTTATTCTTTTTACATGTATATAACTCTTCTAAATAAATAGACTTAACTCGGAAAGTAAATTAGCTCGTACTTGTGTTTCGGAAATAAGCTCCTTTGGTCGCATGCTGAAAAAGCTTCACTGGGTATTTATGCATGCTGCTGTTATACATTAGAGTTTTTCATGTAATGCATGTGTTTCTATACACAAGTTATTTGAAAGTAATTGGGTTTTGAATATTTCTGGGGGATATTTTACGCAAATAAGCTGCTTATCTGTAGCTCTGATGTTTACACTAATTTTGGCGAAATCATGTGAGAACCGATCTGCAGATCACACCAACTTGCCATTATTGACAGAAACTGTGATTAGATTACCACAATTGACACCTTAAAACAAACCTTAGTTGTCCGGGAAGGGATACATAAATCCCAAACTTTGACTTGTTAAGTCATATGTGTTCTTGTTTTACTTTATGTCAACATTGTTTTTGCAATCAAACGGGCACTATATTTTGGGGTACATCTAAACACCATAGATCTGGGAGAAAATGTGTGTAGAGCTTATTGCTATTTTAGGTTAAGTTTACAAGACAAATAATCAATCTCTGCATAGAAAACCATGCCTTGCATAACAGGAAATACAATTGAAATGGTAAATCATCATGTCTTGTGACATTTTATTGCAAATTTCACATTTTCATTGACCAATTTTTATCACCTATTCATTTACTTGAAGCGATAAAATGTAGTTTTTGACAGAACAATGCACGAATCAGCAATTTCCCCAAAACTTGTACCCAAGAATGGTGGGTGTGCATTATATTTAAGTGCACACTCAAGATTTCCTTCCTTTCCAATTTCATTTACCATTTGTCATTTTAGTATTGTCCGGGAAAAAAATAATAATCATTTTTCAGATTTATTTGTACAGAACCAGGGAAAAACCAATGACGTGAAACACTGACTATAATTGGCTTTCTTTTTATAGCCTCACGAGTAAACTGAGTGATTTGATTGGTCGTCATTTTACATTTTTCTTATGGGAATGAATGTGTATGTAAATTAATCACCAAACGGGATCTGATTGGCAATCTGTAAGATACATATTTATTAGCATTTCTGTGGAATAATTTACTGAATGCACTAAGTGCAGTCTGCCTAGAAACTTAGGGTACACAAGCCAATTTTAACCTGCACCAGTGCAGTCCTGTCAATGGGAAATCGAATCCTGCATAGGGTTTGATCAGTACATAATGATGCAGAACCTCATTAATGACCTTTCCAGCAGAGCTCCAGATAAGCTTTTGGTGTTGTGGGTATTTTACCCATGCATGTCAAAATCATTGGGTATCAGTAGTTCTATCTGGGTATTCAAATTTCTGTTACCCACTAGTTTTTACACATTTGGGTATTTAAGTTAAATATTTAAAAACACTATTCATCTAGTCCCTGCAAACTGGTGTTGTGTGGGTTCGAGAGCTTTATAGGACTCAAAAATACCACGATACTTCCACAAGAAAGTGTGATGGCAAATGATCATGATGTAACTGTCATTGTGGAGTTTGGCAAGGTTGACGGAATGCCCGTTTATAATTTCAAAATAAGTTGCTGATTTGCTAATCGAATACGCAGGGTTACTTCACAATATTTTGATGATAAGCACAAGTTTTATTTTTGTAGCGTATCTGTAATGTTCGTTGCGTATTTGATACGCTTGGATTTTATTTTAGTGCGTATTTCTGCATTTCTGATGCGTATTTTACACAGATACGCAGCTTATCTGGTGCTCTGGCCTTTCCAGTGATCATAACCTTCAATGAAGGTCACTCAAAATCTACAGTATCTTACCCTAAGGATATTATCGACTAAATGTCAGGCTCGCTGTCTTGCTTGATGCATGTCATCATATCCCAATTGTGTGTATCGAT